GTAGGATTGTAACTTCTGTTTGTTGTAATTCGCCCCCACACCCTGCAACTTTTTTTTCATTTTACGATTTCATTTCCTCACTATTCGTCTGAAATGTAGATTTATTTTAATTTCTTTTGCAACTGAAATACTTAGTCGACATCATTCCGGTTTCAACTACTGATGTTTTTTTTTTCTTTCTTTCCCACTATTATCTTAAAATATCACACCTTTTAACAGCAGTAGTTTCATTAGGAAAAGAGATATCTTGTATTATCCTGGACGCAAATATATAGTGGAAGACTCTGAAATCATTGCACTTTCAATAGATTATCAAAAATTTTAAAACTTAAATTTAAAGCTATACTTTCCTCTATGTTCAGCCCTTCTCAGGGTAGAATTGTAACCGGTGCATTTCGTCCAACAAATATACTTAATCAATTAAATCATTATATACCTTACGTGATTTCATGATACGTAACTAGTAACACATTTTGTCATTTGAATTACAAGTTATTAGACTCATATTGATCAACATAACTTCCACGAACAGATAACCCATACAAGATGGTGTCTCGCCGTAGAGAAAAGATATCTAACCTAGTATGAAAAACGATTACAGCTTTATCTATCTATATCTTTGAGATGTGGTATTGTGATTACTCTCCAAGCTTTGCTTCACCACTGCTGTGGCCTGGTATTGAGCTCACAACTCTTAAGGTTTAATCACTGGATTTGACCAACGTCTTTATCCACTGGACCATGTGTCCTTGACTAGACCTAAAGAGTTGTGAGTTCAATACCAGGCCACTACAGTGGTGAACCAAATCTTGGAGAGTTGAGTTAAAGGGAAATAACTGAGACATCCGGAAGAGGCATGGCACGTGGAACTAGAACAGTCTACCCCGCTGGACGAAATGATGGAATTAGTTAGAAATTTTAAGTCCCCTAAAGAAAGCTGGAGTGTGCAACGGCCGAAACGTTGTGAATATGGCAATGAAGATTAGGATTTGGTTTGGTTTGGTTTGGTTTGGTTTGGTTTGGTTTACGGCATATCAATTACAGTGGGTTATTTAATGCCGACAAAATTTTAATTGTTGGTAATATTTTTTCCTTCAAAAAATCTATTTCTCGTAATATTTTGTCCTTCAAAAAAATCTATTTCTGGTAATATTTTTCCCTTCAAAAAATCTATTTCTGGTAATATTTTTCTTCAAATACGTATCGCTGGTAATATTATATAATGCAATTTGTGTTGCTGGTATTATTTTTACAAAAAAAAAATTCTTACACTTTCCTAGTATTTAGATTCCAGTACGAGAGAGGGGGAAACTATTTACCCATACCTGGGACCCTAACGGTTGTTACCACCCTGGGTCAAGGTGGACCCGGGAACAAGAGCAACAAAGAGACGTTTCCACGCTCCTGAAAACTTCCTGATCATAAGCCTTGTGGCTAAATGCAGTTTATCATCATACCAGGACGGAAAATGAGGATAATTGTCCGAATAATGGAAATAATGCAAGCGAGTACAGCTTTAGTGTTTTAAGTTTTTTATTGAAAACCGTCGACTGATATCGTTAATTCAAATAGCATTTTTTCACTATATAATAAACGTAGATTAAGTAATGTGTATGTGTAGAGTATTAAGTTTGTGAAGTATTAAGATAAAAGCAGGTTAGAAACGAAGAAAAGAGAACTGAACTGTTACGTAACATCGCTTCTCCTCTATGGCGGTTAATACTGGACATTCTCCTCAAATATGAAGAAACTTGAAGCAGCAGTAACGTGGTTCTACAGAAAGATGTTGAGTATACCATAGACCGAATATGCGAGCAATGACGATGTTTTAGTGAAAACGGAAACCAAAAAGACACTTGCACATAACATCAGTAGGCGATATTTGAAATTTCTAGTGTGCATCATGAGGAAAGTGGATTTGTAAAAATCTTATAGTCACAGGAAAGACTGACGGCAAGAGAGGAAAACAATGAATAACCTATCTAGCAAGTTTGAGTGAATTAATGGCATGATAAGGTTTAAGAGAGCTAAGAAAAACACAAACTTTATTAACAGCTACAAAGGACAGAAAAGTTGAGGCGAGCCATGATCACCGACGCTCTGAATGGTCGAGACACATATAAGAAGAGATATAAAATGGTTTACTGACGATTGATATATACTAATTGGAATATGAATACCTTTTCAGACAAGAAATATACGACTGCATGTGTGGAATTAATTAATCATTATCATTATCATTCGCAATATAAATTTAGATGTATCTTTGTATATGCTGAAATAATTTGATCCGTTTTTCCATGTCTTAAATGTACACACGTTTGGATAGATAGATAGATAGATAGATAGATAGATAGATAGATTAGACAGACATAGTTATAGGTAATAATGCACCGGGATAGATAGATAGATAGATAGATAGATAGATAGATAGATAGATATAATTATAGGTACGAATGCACCAAAATAGATAGATAGATAGATAGATAGATAGATAGATAGATAGATAGATATATTTTTCACTATTTTGTAGAAGAGAACTATCTCTTCACTTGGTAGCTTTTTTGTATCTGTTATGCATTTTATTATTTCCATCATTTATACCCGAGCAAACGCTCTTCTATGGGCCCATAAGCGATTCTTAAGGCCAGCTTCACTTTTCCAACCTCTTTTACATACGTAGCAAACATAACGTTTTTCTGTGTTACTCATGTTAGAAACTTACCTGTTCCTGTGTACAATCATATAACGTTTGACCGTCGCAACTGACTTACAAAACTTGTCGCAAAACTCGTACAATTAACCTGCAAGTCTTTCTCGTAGGGTTTAATTCACAGGAATTTGCATCTGACCTCGTTGGTGTCATCTAACTTGACTGGCTAAACCAGCCGCCCATAGGGTGATGTTCCACAAATGCTGCAAGTTTGTTGGTGTCCTAATAGCTCTGGCACAGATTCTATTTCTTCCTTCCAAATGGTGCATTTTTTGCTGGAATGGTCATTTATCTTCTGTACAAAATAGTTGCAGTTGCCTTTAGGTTACATCTAACTCTATCCTTGAAACGTTTTTAGTCTTATAGATGGATGGATCAATAGATAGATAGATAGATAGATAGATAGATATATAGATATGAAGAGACTTTAGATAGATAGATAGATAGATAGATAGATAGATAAGAGAGAGAGAGAATTTCAGCGAGATAGAGAGAGTTAAATATATTAAGATATATCAAAGGAGAGACTGACAGATGATTTTTCAGAAATTTGTCTTTGCTTTTGTTCTGATGACTTTACTTTGACCAACAATGATTTTGGATTCACTTTCTCTTTTCAGATGTCCTTTGCAATAAAATCTAACAATCACTAAATTCTCACGATTTATAATAACCGAATATTATTTTTTTCCATTTGTCCTAAGATTAATTCAATATACATAACTGCATTCAATTTTTCGAAGCACAAAAATTGGGTCTGATAATGTTTTTCGCATTTGGACCCATCCGAAGGATCCAATAAAATCGAGAGCATGGAGGCCTTACAATCAGCGTCAGTGCTCTGCAGAAGACTCGATTCTTTAAAAAAAATTTAAATTCCAATTTAGACGGTTTCTGTTGATAGCAGCCTTGCAGTTTCTCTTGCCTTGACTACGCAACTGAAAGAGAGAAACAAAAACAAAAAATGGCGTTGCATAAATTTGCCGAAATTCTTTTTATCGTCAGAAATGAAGCAAATAATACAGCGATTTTTCTGAACATTTGAAATTGATTTTATCGCCGGCAAAGAAAGGAAAGCAGAAAAGTCTTATCGGCTTTGAACAATCAGAGTTTAATCACCGATAAGTTATCAGGAATTGCAGACATTCTTGAGGAAAAAGATTCCGATCTTTTGTCTTTATTTTATTTACTATAATCTTCTTCATTATCATCGACATCTTTGATTTTGTTGCTGGTAACAAGAGTAGTGAGAAGGCCGACATATTTATTCTTTGTCTCGTTAATCCTTTCTTTTGTTGTTCTTCATTGAAGGCGGGATTTATCTTTTGTTATTTACATTCTTATTCCACTTATGAGTCTTTATTACTGCTTCAGTCTGTGTGGCCGTAGTTGAAGTTCCCTTCATAGAGACAGACATAAATAGGATGAGATAGATAGATAGATAGATAGATAGATAGATAGATAGATAGATAGATAGATAGATAGATAATGAATATAGGCACTGGGTAAGATAGATACATAGACGCGAATACATTGGCAATAGATAGATAGATAATGAAGATAAATAGACATAAATAGTGTGAGATAGATAGATAGATAGATAGATAGATAGATGCGAATACATTGAAGATAGATAGATAGATAATATAGACGCAAATACATTGGGAATTGATTGAGAGATAGATAGATAGATAGATAGATAGATATGAATAAAGGAACAAATGCTATATATATATATATATATATATATGGTCATCAACAGACAGACTGTTTCGCTATATCACAGCTCATCAGTGTGGCTAGACATCTTATCGCTTCAGGTCGGGAACGAAACCCGACCGATTTGGTATCAGTCGGAAATTTTCATCCCAATACCATCGATACCCGGCAGAGAGAAAGGTGAATTTTGGTGTATTTATTTTTTCATAAACACACCAGCCACTCAGAGAACTCAATGGTTAGGAGAGTTTTGCATTATATATATATATGCATTATATATATATATATATATATATATATATATATATATATATATATATAGAGAGAGAGAGAGAGAGAGATAATAAATATAGGCACTTATACATTGGGATAGATAGATAGATAGATAGATAGATAGATAGATAGATAGATAGATATGAAGAGAGAGCGAAAATAGATATATACATACAGACTCATGGATGTCGACTCGTTAAACGAATATATCAATCGCTGACAAATAATATAAATAATGGCTGTGCTGAGTTTTTAGCCGTCTATATCCTGCACAACACCGCAAACAATTCACGACATGAATATTAAGAGTCCCAGAAACAAGTATATGCAACACATCCGGATTTGCCCTGAGACATCTATGTTTCGCACTGTGATAACATATATATATATATATATATATATATATATATATATATATATAGTCATTTCTGATTACACTGGTCTGTCATGGCGGCTAGCAAATAATACGTCTGCTCAACTACAGTTTTCACCTATGCTTTATACGCCAAGTATACTGAGCAGACATTAATTACAGTTCCTGGAAAAGAACACATGATCTGGTGTGGTTAATATTTTAAACCCTCCGTCATAATGATGTCTCATTATTTGATAGCATATACATACATGCATATATATATATATATATATATATATATATGAAGAAATATAGTCTTAAGGTGATAAAGCGTGTGTAAATATAAGTGAACATGGAAGTCAACACTAAGAGGCGACAGGCTGTTTCATGCTAGACGCAACCGTCAGGCCATATATATATATATATATATGTGTGTGTGTGTGTGTGTGTGTGTGTGTGTGTGTGTGTGTGTGTGTGTGTGTGTGAGCGAAATTTTTTGAAATATAATTATTTTTAAAGCTTCATATTTTTAAAAAGCTAAATTGCATAAAGTTTGACGAATTCGAGTCATATAAGATCAACATGTAATAAAGTGTTTCGGCTACTAAATAACGTGTTTGGAATAAAAATACTTTCTTATATGCATTCTAGAATGCAGCGTTTCATATAATAGTTGTTTCCACACACACTCCACACACACACATATATATATATATATATATATATATATATATATATATATATATATATATAAAGAAATTTTTTGAAAAACAAACAAAAATCAAAATGTAGTTAAAATGAAAAAAGAAATGTCGACGTCTGACGTTTCGGTTTAATAAACCTTTTTTCAGACAATATACATCAAAAATACAATTCAGTTCAATATGAAAATACGATGGACATATTGAACTGAAACGTCTTGAAAAAGGTTTTTTTAAAAAAAACGTCATCGACTTTTCTTTTTTAACTGTTTTTCAAAATTTCTTCATTCTGTCGGATTTATATCCATTTACACTTGCTTATATATATATATATATATATATAGTCATCCACAAACAGACTGCTTCGCTGTATCACAGCTCATCAGTGTGACTAGATGTCCGGTTGCCTCTAGCTAGGATCGACGTCAGTCGGAGATTCTACCACTAAGCCGTCGGCGCATGGCAGTACATATAATTATATTGTGGGTGTGTTTAGGCAGCAATCCCTCTTTTATACATGTTTCACTAAAAACAGGTTACTGAAGTTTAATTTTTCTTGTTTTCGAACAAGTGTTTTCTTTTCTGGACACAGAGTGCCTAGAAATTGTCCAAATGTTCTGTTATTCCGAACGCTTTCGTCTATACTTTTAGCCATTATCGTGGATAATTTTATTATTACTTTTTAACTAGATGTATGGGTCGTGTATGTGTATCTAGAGTTATAGGGATTTTTTTTTTATTTTCCGAACACGGTCAGCACATTGTGGCCATGGTGTTAGTTAATATTATTGAGTGTTGGCTTTTTCTTTTTATTATTAAGGCTTTTTAATCTTTTTTATATGTGGATGAGGTTATAATTGTTGTATTTTCTACCAGTATATTTCGGAGATTTTTACGTTTTTGTGTGTGTTTAAATGGGTTCTGATGGAGCTGTGTTCGGATAGGTGCAATGTAAGTCGTCTAGATAAGCATGTAATAGTGTGACCGATGTAATTATTTATCAATTCAGTTCGATCAGGAACACAGTTCCTTAAAGAATATTTCAACTTGTAAATAATGCTTGCTCTTATTAGTTTTGATTTTGCAGGCGTGTTGTTATTATTTAGGATAAGCTTAATTGTTTTAAATTTTTATTCCACCCGACTCCATCCGAGACCTACAAGTAGAAATTACACGCAAAAGAGCCTCATCCACATGCAAGAAAAAGAATGAAAATAATAATATTACTATATGTCAAATCAAATGCACTTCACCTTCCCTTTAACGGGTTGGTGGGGGAATTCGTAGTCTCTAGGACAAGAGGATTCCTACAGTAGAGGGACTCTATGGACCCAAAAGTGGCAACAGCTGGAATAGAAGTCCGCAATGGAAGGAAATGGAGTGTAGAGAGCGAACTGGGTATTCCGGAGGAGCGTTTGAGGCAGGAGGCTCTCATGGTGTCAGTGGCATCAGGTCATGCAGGCTTTGGCTTCTTTCCTGGTACCCGAATCGAGAAGGCTAGAGGTAAAGAGAGACGACAACTAATTCAAGTACGAGCCAACGTTAAGAAAAAAAGATTATGCAACATGGTGGGCCTAAGCCAGCAGGGTGCATGGACACGTTGGGAAAATTTTTTACGGCGGAAAATAAGTTGGTCGGAGATCTGGCACTCCGACGCCAGTCGTATTAAATTTCTAGTGCAATCCGTGTACGATGTGCTACCGAGTCCTGCATACTTGCATACTTGGGGGATGAGCGAGTCACCATCATGCCCACTCTGTGCCAGGAAAAGTACGCTGAAACATATTCTAAGCGCCTGCCCGAAGGCATTTGATGAAGGGAGGACATGATCATGTACTTAGGAAATTAGCCGAAGTAGTGGCCGCAGCAATTAGCGATTGCTGTTGTAAGCCTGAAATCAAGGCGATCTGTGTCATCAAGACCGGTGAAAACTCTTCCACGCTGCGTAAATCCTCAACCTGCATGCTCTCCTCTGCCCGAGATTGGCAGCTAAGAGTAGACCTGGGGAGTCAGTTGAATATCCCGGAGCAGATAACGACATCTTCCCTGCGCCCAGATTTATTGGTCTCGTCCAATGTCTCCAGGCAGGTCATAATGCTCGAACTTACGGTACCTTAGGAGGAGAATTTGAAAGAAGCCTTTGAAAGTAAGCTGGAAAAATACTAGGAGTTAGTTTAGAGATGCAGAACTAACAAATGGTGGACTACCTGTCTCCCGGTTGAAGTCGGATGCCGTGGTTTTGCAGGAAGATCTGTATGCAGTGCTCTAAGTCGGCTTGGGGTCAGGGGAGTAAAAAAGAGAAAAGCTATCAGGGCTCTATCAAAAGCTGCAGAAAAAGCCTCAAAATGGCGATGGATTAAAAGATCTGTTCCATGGAGCTCTACGACGGGGATTTGTGGGAGCTGAGGGGCAGTTGGGAAGGAAAGAAAAGGGATATATAGATAGTCAATGTTTGGCGAGGAGGGTCCTTTTTTATTTTTATTTTTTTTTTTTTTTTTAATATTTTTTCGATCGTTTTCAACAATGCCGTCTTTGTGTTCCTAACTGTTTTTTTTTGTTTGTTTGATTCTTCTTTTTTTTTTTTTTTTTTGCATTCCTAATCAGGTGGGGAGAGAGGAGGAGTAAAGAAAGAATAGAAAGAAATGGCGGTGGTGGGAAAAGAAAGCAAGAAACGTTTCTGATCATAATTCCTATGACCAACGAATGTGTTCGATATTCTGTTTTTTTTTTTTTTTCTTGTGGGGGGCGTTAATGTAACACTTCATATGAAAGGAAACTTTTCTTGTCATTACTTACCTGTTATATCAAACTGTTCGTTGAGAATGTGGATCGTTCAGCGTGGTCAAGCTAAGATGGAAAAGAGGAAAGAAAAGGCGAGCATGCAGTCTTTTCTTTTCTTTTCTTTTTTGTATCGTCTTTGGCTGAGGCGGAAGTGACGTCAGTCCCTAACTATTGGTCAGCAGTGACATTTATTTAACGAGTTCATTTGGTGCATGCTTGGCGTATTTTTTTTTTTTTGCTTCAGTATCGCCTGCCGGAATGGTACTGTTTCGGTAGGGTCTCTTTGGTGAACAAGTATGATGTTGGAAGACCCAAAACTTTTCATGACACCAAGTCATAACATCACTGAGAGGGGATCCTGAGCACTCGTTGGAGTGTTTTTATGTCAAATCACTAAATAAATTAATAATACTTTTTAAATAAAAAGCGTACTCGCAGTACTTCGCTGTCGTCTTTAATGAAACATATATATATATATATATATATATATATATATATATATATATATATATATATATATATAATGCTGCTAAGGAGCCAGTCAAACCTACCTAGGTTTCACCTAAACGGATCTTCAGGGTAAAGCCGACTGAATAGGAATATATATTTTCCGAACATAGTCAGCACATATTAATATTATTGAGTATTGGCTTTTTCTTTTTATTATTAAGGCTTCCACTATTTTTAATCATTTTTTACATGTTGATGAGGTTACAATTCTTGTATTTTCTACCAGTATGTTTCGAAGTTTTGTGAATTTTTGTGTGTGTTTAAATGGGTTCTGATGGAGCTGTGTTCGGATAGGTGCAATGTAAGTCGTCTAGATAAGCATGTAATAGTGTGACCGATGTAATTATTTATCAATTCGGTTCGATCAGGGGCATTTTAATTTGTAAATAATGCTCGTTCTTATAAGAATAAAAATAATAATATCATTAAATAAAATAATAATACTAATTCAATAAAAAGCGTAATCGCAGTACCTTATCTGTCGTCTTTAATGAAACATATATATATATATAAGACTCAAACACTAATATTCCATGATTATAATTTATTAAACTGGAATCGTAATCACGATCCAATTCATCAGACCTACAAATTAAAAAAAAATAGGAAAATACCACTATGAGTATAAAAAAAAAACTTTTATTGAATTTTTAGGTCTGATGAACTGGATCGTGACTACGATTCCAATGTAATAAATTATAACCATAGACTATTAGTGTTTGAGGCTTTTTATTATATTCTTACTCTGTCCTGGACATTGAGTCCTACCTGGATTCTATCCTCTTGGAATATATATATATATATATATATATATATATATATTGACCACTAATTTTATCAATACATATATATATATATATATATATATATATAAAATAATAACTATATATATATATATATATATATATATATATAAAGTAATAATAACTGTATATATATATATATATATATATATATATATATATATATATATATATATATATATATATATATTCAGTTATTACTTTATGGATACGTTATTTTTAGTGGGTACCCATGTTTGAGTAGAGGCTCTGTTTATTTTATTTCGACTACTGGCCTGAATGTTCGAGAAACCCTATTAGAGATAATTGCCAAATTTGGAGGAAGGACCTTTCGCATTTTCAGGTCGGTAGAAGAAATGAAATACAGTTCAAATATAAACGCAGCCTCTGCTCAAATATGGCAATCCAGTAAAAATGACGTTTCAACTAATGAAAATATGTCGGATTAATAAATAAAAGCCCGTTACTTCTTTAGAAAGTACATATTACACATAAATATAGGTACTAAAAGACTTAGATAGATAGATAGATAGATAGATAGATAGATAGATAAAGGAACAAATAGGAAATGTTTATGAATCTAACATGTCTTGACTTTATTAAAACTTCATCAGAGAATAAGGTATGGAAAAAAAGAAGAAAGAATTCTGGTAATTTTAAGTTTTGTTTTGTTCGTATGTCATTGGTTAAGCAGACGTCTGTGAATTTGTCTTGTTCAAGTCAAACACACTTTATTACATCAACAACTGATATAAAAATCCATACCTAAAGAAGCTAAGATATGTCTACTTACTATGAGTGCCACTACAACCGCTGCCTCCGAATCAACATGCAGATAAACACACACGAATACGCATTATAATCGGAATCCAGATATATACAAACTAGAATCATAAGACTCTTACACACAGAAATTTTAAACACAAATTCAGCTTTACAAGACAAATGCACGTGAACGGATTAATGAATGAAAAACAAACACAAAATTAAAAACACCAAACACTTTTCCCTTTCTCTCTTTATATCTTTTTTTTATATCCTATTCGCTGATGAAGCTTTAATAAATGCGAAACATATCTGAATTATAAGCGTTTCCTATTTGTTCCCATCTTCTATCTATCTATCTATCTATCTATCCCAGTATGTTTCTATCTATCTATCTATCTATCTATCTATCTATCTATCTATCCCATATATATATATATATATGTGTGTGTGTGTTTCCCATCTATCTATCTATCTATCTATCTATCTATCTATCTATCTATCTATCTATCCCAGTGTTCATATCTATATATATATATATATATATATATATATATATATATATATATATATATATATATATATATACCAGTCTGTTCATATCTATCTATCTGTATTTGATTCTAATTCGTAGGTAGATATGGATAGACTGAGCTAGACACAAAAAGACTCAGAATTCGGTTTGGGAATTCAGAGTTTACGTTCTCTTAGTCTGGTTGCCAGCCTATTCTAGAAAGTTCATCTACATTGTTATTTATCCCTTAACGGGAGGCGAAAAAAAAAAAAAGAAAGATTCATGCCTCATCGAAGTGTGTTGTAAAAAAGTGAATTAAACAGACTAGGCTGGAATTCGACATCGGATCGCCGCTAACATTTTCCGTGCCAATATCACTTACACGAACCAAACATCGGGAACGCATTTGCATATGAATTTTAAATGTACTCATGCGAAGAGCAGCGACTAAAATTAGGAGGTGAAAATAACCAGGACAACGTTGTATCCCTGTTTTTTTTTTTGTTTTTTTTTATCAATTTACGACGTGTTAAATTTTGTCTAAGTATTCCCTCCGAATATCAGTTGTAAAAAACATCCAGATCGTTAAGTGAGGAATATGAGTGGCAGGATGTTGCACATGGTCATTTTAATGTTGTGTGCGAACACAGAGCCCAAAGACAAAAATTGCTGGCATCAGTATTCGATCGACCACCAACCTTAGTCCAATGAAGGAGGTGCTGCCGAAGTGTTGGTATACACGGAGCCAGGTAACGTTCAAAGCTTAATTGTGCCCTCTCTGAAGGCAGTGACACGGCCCACAGGTAATATATATATATTAAGCATTTCACCCCAAGCAAGGCAGGAAGCCACTGGCACTCAAGGGGTTACAGAGGATTTTAAGCGAGAGCAGATAGTAGTCATAGAGGAAAGGGTTAGGAGAAGGATAGTGGATAGATGAAGGCAACTGGAGATGTCGATTGACATTACATTTGAATAGTTGGAGATTATAGCTATCAGGGAAACAGGAAGAGGGAAGGGAGTTCCACAGGCGAGAGGTGCCAGACATGAAGCTATTGGAGCAGAAGAGACTGCTGCATTTAGTAGTTTCGACAGTGAAAGGGTGAGAGCGGGATGCCAGCCTCGTAGGGCGTTTGAATTCATGAAGTCTGGGAACCAGCGAAAGCAGCTCATCGAAGCAGTTACCATGAAAGTATTTGTAAAAAAAGTCAGAGAGAGGCGACGGCACGTCTGTGAGAGAGCGACTGCAGACGAGATGCAGGGCCAATTTCATTGCATATATAAGCGTATAAGTAATTATTTAGTGAACCCCACACCACAGTAAAGGGGTGACATAATTTTAAAGTGGAGAGCCCAAACGCGTGCACATGAGCTAAGGCCAAAAATTGCCTTATCCTTTCAACCCACGATACGCTGGTCTGGGTATGTAACCGTCCATTCCTCGTTGGTGCAATGAATTTTTTTCTGCGGCAGGATTGGAAACCTCGGCACCAGGTATTCCTCAAAGTTGCACCGTGACTTTTTGGAAAAGTGTTACGACCGGTCTAGGTGTAAAGATGTAAACGTAAAAGTGTGTACTTACTCAGCCTCCCCACTAAGTCACTAGTTGAGAAAAGGTGCTTTTTTTTACGTTTGGAGCCTATACACATATGTATATAGGGATAGGACAAAATTGCCCGATGCTCGTTTCGCTGGCGTCGATAATACACCGACCACATCACTCTTAATGAAATGAGGAAAGTGCTTCCATATGAGGACAGATTATTCCTGCAAAGTTCGTAATAACCATTGATGTCATCTGACATTTCACATTACTACAAATTAGTTGGAAAAAATTACAGAGTTACCTAAAGTCAATATAATCTATTCAATTAGATTTTCTTAAAAACTGTATAGAATAAGCAGAAAAATTAGTAAATTTGCTGAGTTCCGTTTTATTGTTATCAATACACACATTAGAAAATTATTCAGATATTTTTCTGAAGATCTAGATTATGTAGTTAGATCCAGAGTCGCCAATTCCTGTCAATTCAACATAATGGCAAAAAGGACGTTAGAAAATAGATATCTTGCTGAAAATGTTGTTTATACAAACACTTTATAGAGTTAAGAGGACTTCTATTATAACTTAACATTTCTCTGTCCGCAGGGTGGATATTGTTGTGGTAAATCCTCCTACAGTAGAATGAAGTTCATAGAAATAATTGTCCGAAAAATCAGTAATTTGCAAATGGACAATCCGTGGCAAAGAAAGAAAAACGGACTTGAAGATGACACACAGACCTGCAGATCATTAACATTGAGCAACGCATCGTTCGAGGTTTAATTGCCGATGTCCGACGATTAGAAGAAATAAAGACATTATAGACATTTTAGTTGATTCACAAGTCAAATGGAGGAAAAACAACTAAAAAGTTGGTAAACTTTCTTTTTTACAGGCACATGTGGAAAAAATTATTTCTTCAGACTTCTGCGGAGTTAAGATTTTAGGAGGGGGTGTTTTGGTAAATCCTCCTACAATAGAATGAACTCTTCCTCCTCTCATAAATAGTAACTGCGAGAGTCGGTTGAGGGGAAAAAGGTAGATGCAGTGCTAACCTTCTGTTTGGATGTACACCGCTATCTACTTATTACTAATACTCTTGCTTTGTATATATCTTCAAAATACTTGTTCAACCTATCTTCGTCTTCCGTTGTCTTTCTTTCTGGCCCCTAAACAGGCCACAACAGATATAACCCCTATTAGAAAAAACAACGAGATTATGCCTGATACTGAACTAATTCATGATCGAAGCAAGGAACTCCGAATGAAAGGCAAATAATAAGACATAATGATATAAAATGATGATACTATCAGGTGAAAGACTTTCTCTTCTTAAAAGCTGTCGTGAAAGTTAACGTAGGAAATAAAATGGCGAAGGACACGACAGTAATTAATATACTATTTAAAAGAACCAAACAATATGAAATCGCTAACTTCAAGATGAGCCTAATATTTATTTAAAGAAACACTTAATCTTAATGTCCCCCTTCATTTTCTTTAATCACATTTTCGGCATATTCTGAAACTGAGCTGCAGGAATTCAGAATCTAGCCCGAGCTAGAACTTACAGAAACTTACGATATCATATAGCAGCGTGTATGCCATTTGTACAGAAAATCGCTGATAAATACACAACGTTGACTAAGTCTGTACTTTACGCCCTTTTCTTTGAACTATAATATGGCAAATGAAAATCGTTTCGCGACTGCTTAGCCTGCCTTAAAGTATTTCAGAGTTCCTTGTCTCTGCTGCTGAAAGATTGGAAGAGACTGTCAAAGTGGAGAACAGACGGTCGGGCTAAGGAAATGATATAAACACCAATGATAAAAATAATTATTTCAAGACTGCAGACACAGAAATGAAACAACATCAAATCTTACAGAAGGCAAGAGAGAAGAAAGGACTAAACACCAATTCTAAGAAAGCTTTAGATTTGTCTAAATCAAGCAAGTGTCAAAAATGTAGATATCTAAAAAGAGTTTTAACAAAGGACGGAATACGTGGCACCAATATCCGAAGAAGCATTCAAATTTGGCCTTATGCCACACCTGACCGCCTGGGGCGGTCGGTAGATATCCTTGCTTTGGGAATAACTAGCCTGCCACCCGATTCCCTGTCTTTCAGTAGTGTATTCTCTTTTACAATAAACCTCTCTTCTTTCATCTACGCGCGTGTTGCTGTTCCTTCATTCGAGTACCACCTTTGTCTGTGTGTAACCTCCTTAAGGATACAAGTTTTTCACTATTACTCCCTCTCCCTGTTCTGCTAACCATTTACACAAGATTGTTAGTTACGTTACTTGCTGTTTTTCTCTGTCTCGCCTGCTTTCAATATGCCCTCTGTGTGTCAGATTCTCCAAACATTCTTTTCTCATTATGTTTCCTAGAGATTTAAACTGTGTCACTCTCTGTTTTAAAGTATAATTATACATTCTGTTCCGATTTTCTTTAATACGTCCTCGTTACTCACATGTTCCGTCCAGGTTATTCTCAACATCTTTCTGTAGAAACAAATTTCTGTTGCGTCAAGTCTCTTCTTCATCAGTGACGAAACTGTGCAACATTCGCTGCCATATAGGAGGAGTGATATTATATAGCAGTTGAGTTTTTAGTTTGTTTTTAGCTAAATTTACTTTTTTTTTCTTTTGGAAGACATGTTTAGTTATTCCAATGCGTTTTCGATGTTACATTTTCCGACTTCTGTTAAAACTCTTCCGAGATATATAAATTTTCGTACTTGCTTGATTCTGGCATCTCTAAATTTTACTTTGCATCTTGGGCTGCCCCTTTTGTTGACAACTATACATTCTGTCTTCTCTTATCAATCCTGTTCCATTTGCATATCATATTTTTCTACTTGCTTGAGTCTGACATCCCCAATTTGTACTTCGCATCTCGAGCTGCCCCTTTTTCTGACAACCATACATTGTCTTCTTCTGCTGTCAATCATGTTCCATTTGCATATCTTATTTTTCTACTTGCTTGTGTCTGACATCCCCAATTTTTACTTTGCATCTCGGGCTGCCCCTTTTGCTGATAACCATACATTCTGTCTTCTTATAATTGACAGTTAGTCCTTTCTTCTCACTTTAACTTTACTACTTCATGTCGAAGATCCACGAGTTCCTTTTACATATCTTGTTAATAAGATTGTTTCCACCAAAAAGAAATCCTTGTAGGACTTCCAGTTCTCTCGAAATCATGTCCCTGTAAAGGTTGAATAAGTCCGGCGAGAAAACCCATCCTTGTCTTAAACTATTTCTTTGTAATTATTGAATTCATTTTCTCTAACGTCTTCTGGTGCTTTCTGGATTATTCTAATATATTTTCTAAATAAATCAAACTTTACTAGCAGTTCAACAAGTTATTTGTGACAGTCTTTGATCGTGGCAACATCCACACGAAATAAAAGCCGGGCTGCTTTACTCCCTTCTCTCAAGCCATTCGCATTTATATTACCTAAATTCTATCTCATTTCTAGTAATCAACAATTTCTTTGTTTCTAATGAAAATTTCTTCTGCTTAGCTTTTCGTAGGCATCTTTCGCTATTCCAATACGCCTTTGAATTTCAGTGCCGTATTTTCCATCGTCTGTTAAAACACTTCTTCTATATTTTCCTGCTTGCTTGAATCTGACATCCCCAATTTGTACTTCGCATCTTGGGTTTGCCCCTTTTCCTGACGGCCATATAGTCTGTCTTCTTATGATTGACAGAATTCATTTTCTATTCAAGTTCTGGATTTTTCTAATATATTTCCGAAATAAAAAAAATGCTATTGTTATTTTCTTTGATTAGGAAATCTTATGGTGATTTTCTATAAAACAACAGTTGGTTGCAAATTCTTAGAATCTAATTTGTTGAGCTTGAATTCAGTTTGGTACGAGAAGGAGAAAGAAAAGGTTTGATGCCTCGTTGAACATGGGTCCACTGAAGGAACGTTCACGTCGCTGTCCCCAACAGATGTGTTCTCTTATTTGCCAATCCTTCCCCAGCGCTACAGTAGACGTTATACTTACGCTACCTTGATACCTTAACACCCCAGGAAAGGCTTGGTGTGCAGCACTGGATGTGTGTAGAGTAGCGACTCGATAAGAAGATATTTAGACAAAAGATTCCAGTAACTTTTGCGCAGTCTTAGATCTGGAGAACGGACATAGATCATTATCTGCCTAAGACATCATCGCTAACATATTTAAGTTAGAAATATCTCTTCAGTCCCCTGCAATTTATTTTGGACTAGGATAATTTTTTTGTAGTTCTTTACTCTTTTTGGAAGCTTAAATTTCTTCCTCTTCCATCTTCTGGTTCTCGCTTTATTTTTAGGTCTCTCTCTCTCTCTCTCTCTCTCTCTCTCTCTCACACACACACACACACACACTCTCTGTATGTCTCTCACTCACTGCCTCTCTCTCATTCTCTCTCACTCTCTCTCTCACTCACTCTCTCAGACTCTCACTCTCTCTCACTCACTCATTCTCTCACTCACTCTCTCAGACTCTCACTCTCTTTCACTCACTCACTCTCTCACTCACACATTCTCTCCCTCTCACTCTCAATCTCTCTCACTCACTCACTTTCTCACTCTCTCTCACTCCCACTCACTCCCTCTCCCTGTCACTCCTCTCCCTGTCACTCTCTCATTCTCTGTCACTCACACTTTCTCCCCCTCTCAATCTCTCTCTCACTCTCAATCTCTCTCACTGTCTCTCACTCTCAATCTCTCTCACTCGCTCTCTCACTCCCTCTCACTCTCACTCTCTCTCACTCTCACCCTCATTCTCTTTCACTCTCTCTCTCACTCCTCTCCCTCTCACTCTCTCACTCTCTGTCACTCACACTTTCTCTCCCTCTCCCTCTCACTCACTCTCAATCTCTCACTCTCTCTCACTCTCAATCTCTCTCACTCTCAATCTCTCACACTCTCACTCTCTCTTACTCTCACTCTCACACTCTAGAAACTTATACGTAACGCCGCTAGGTGGCGTAACGTTGTTTTCCTAAATCAAAACAGGCTTTCACTAGAGTATGGCAAATGTGTTTTTTTGGTTTTTTTTTGTTTTTTTTTTTTTGGTGTGCGGTGTTCGATTCAAGAAATTCCAATTTGGAGGATGGTAAATTAAATGCCGCAAAAACAGAGATGTTTTCTTTCTTTTCCTGTGTCTGGCTGGCCAGCGATAAACGCTTATCTATAGGCAATCACAGACAAAAACTGCAGATAAGCCCAAGGAACACCAGAATGCCTGTTAAGAGGGATAGAGTTTCAGAAAACAAGCTGGCTCGCTCGTTTTTTCCGATCCCGTCCCCAGACACGCACTGACATTGGAATTTCGACAGGCGAGGCGTGTTCTTTGCAGGCTACAATCACACCATATGTTGTTGTGGAGGGTGGCGTAAATCTATTATTATTATTATTAATAATAATAATAATAATAATAATAACAATAATAATAATATGAAGAAGAAGAAGAAGAATCTTTTAATTTACAAGCGCATCAAAAATAATTTTCAGAAATACATTTACAGAATTACATAGACATTTCTTCTGTGTCGCATCCTTCCAAGACATATTTGACCATTGTTCTTCACAACTTCCCGTTTCTTTTTATCCCAATTAACCTTTGACTCTTTCCAATTCTTCTTTGTTCTTTTCCTGCAAATCCTTCACACGAACTCACTGTTTCTCTTGCTTTCCATATAAATCATGAATATTAAATTCTTCAAGTCCTTTTATTTCATTGTCTCGAAAATCTCAAACGGTTTCGATTTGTAACTATCAATTAGAGACTAATTTCTTTAAAACCGTCTTCATTAATCACATATTCTTTCCATATAAAATTCAAAACTTATTCATGTCTTTTTTAATCCGAAATAACCATTAAGAAACATATTTCCAAAAAAAGAGAGGTTGATATTTTAGAAGAAAATCCATTATAAATTGATATCATTGAATATATTCTTTACAAATACACCCTTGTGTAAATTAATTGAAACGAACGCTTTAGTTTACTTTCTTTCACCATATGGTCAGTTTTAGACCCACTGGAATGACAAGGTTTTCAGATAAGATGCTTAGCCATCTTGACACCATTTTTCGTAAGAATCACTGAAAAACCCTTTTAGTTATTCAGCTAAAAAGACAGCAGGTTAAAATCGTTTTGTTTTCCGAACTTAGCAATGATGAAAGAAAAAAGATCATTCTGGTCTTCAGTAATCGTAGCAAGATTCATACTCTGATTTCCATCTTCAATGGCCGTTCGAGAACTATCAAGAGAACGGTGAATACGTTTAAAAAAGAAGGAACATTCGGGAGGAAAACTGGATGAGGACGTCACAACAAGAAGAAGGATCATCATTTCAACTTAGAACTAAAGAGATCAATTAGAAAAGATCCAATTCAATCTATAAGACTTTTTTTTTTACGCGAGAGATGAGTTTCAGCTATGACAGTTCAAAAAGCAGTAAAAAAAACAGACTTGAAAATTAAATCGCACGGGAAACCTGTGAGGTATATTGCGACTCCAGGACAGAAAGTTAAAAGGTTAGAGAGGGCGAACATCATCTTGAATAAGTTGGAATATAATCCTGGAATATATATATATATATATATATATATATATATATATATATATATATAAAAAAAACTTTATTTCAATCCGATCCTTATTTATGATTAATTAATGATGAACATGTCATTATTGTTTACGATCGATTCTGTTAAACATGGAGAGTAATTATATATTCTTATGGTTCAAAGTAGTGACTAATAGTCTTATTAAAACATCGGAGAATTTCAATAAGATATCTTTAATCATTTCTAAGATACAACGTTTCAAATCTTAATCGAAGAATTGGACAATTTTGCTGTTACACAATTTGGACACTTTTGCCGTTATTCCAGGTATATCAGAACAGAAGCGAATAGGCACCATACGATAATCAAATCATTTGTACACCGTATGGCATATCTATGATAGAATAAATAGTATCAATACTACAACGATAATAGTCATGGTAATCTTAGCCGTTTCTTTAGAAATAAACATTCGGCTTGTAATGACTGATCAGCTTGTGCTACTGTTGAAATTTATAAAATTATTCTCTTAAAACAATTTTTTGAGAAAATGGTTTTCTCAAATCCATTTTCTGTTATCGCTCTTCCCAGTATTGATGGGTGTTTCCTTCCTAACCTTTTGTTTGTAGTCGTGTGGAATGTCAGCATCCTGATCATGATATTATTTTCTATTCGGTTTACATGTTTTCCATTTTAGATGTTTTCGCTGTTGGTTGTCATGAGGTGAACTGCTTTTTGTGTTTTAGTGCAGTTTTTTGTGATTGTGTAGCGCCAGCCAACAACGTTTGAAAAAGGATAGTTCTCGCTGAGACCTACAGGTTTCATTTTTATATAATGCAGCATACGTTATTCCAGTTCTCGTCGTGATAATTTATGTTGGTTTCTTCTTAGAAATAATTGTACAGAAGAATTCTTCAGAAGACGGAGGTGGAGTAAGGTTTTTGAAATAGAATTTCTAGCTGCAAAATTATAGGCTCCTTAAAAGTTGATAACATCAAGATAATTGAAAAAAAAAGTCATTTAAGGTTTTTTGACAATAACTTTCTTGCACGGTGCAGGTGCCAATGAAGATGGTTTAGCTAATAACTATATTCATTGATCTTTCATATTCTACCAAAATACTTACAAAGATATCAAATAAATGGAATGAAAAAAATTCATTTTAAAAACACGAAAATAAAAAAAAAATATATTTTTATATTTAAAAGCTTTCTCACCCTTTTCCGTCCTGGGTAAGACGATAAACTATATCCAACAGCAAGGCCTCTGACCAGGAGGCTTTGAGGAGCGTAGAACCACTTCTTATTTGTTGGCAATCTCAGTTCCACCCTGACCAGTGGTTATAGTACCTGTTAGGGTCCCAGCTACGGGCAAATAGTTAACCCCAAACTTGGGTCAAAACATTATGAAAGTGTAAAAATTGGTTTTAATACCAGCAATACATTTTCAAAAGAATTACCAACAGTTTAATTTTTGAAAGATTTTTCGAAAAAATATTAATAACAATAGATTTCTCGAAAAATATTACCAGCAATGCATTTTAGAAAAAATATCACCGCAATACATTTTTGAAGAAGAAATATTATTAGCAATACATTTTTGAATAAAAAAAATTACCAGCAATACATTTTTGGGAAAAAATATTAGCAGCAATACATTATTACCAGCAATACATTTTTGGAAAAAATATTATCAACAATGCATTTTGGGAAAAAATATTACCAGCAATACATTTTTGAAGAAGAATATTACCATCAATACATTTTTGGAAAAAAAAAAAATTACAAGCAATATATTTTTGGGAAAAAAAAAATTAGCAAATGCAAAAAAATATTATACTTTTTGAATAGAAGAATATTACCATCAATACATTTTTGGAAAAAAAAATTACCAATATTTTTTGGGGAAAAAATATTAGCAGCAATGCATTTTTTAACAGAAGAAGAATATTACCATCAATACATTTTTGGAAAAAAAAAATTACCAGCAATATATTTTTGGGGAAAAAAAATATTAGCAGCAATGCATTTTGGAAAAAATATTAACAGCAATACTTTTTTGAAGAAGAATATTACCATCAATACATTTTTGGAAAAAAAAAATTACCAGCAATATATTTTTGGGAAAAAAAATATTAGCAGCAATGCATTTTGGAAAAAATATTACCAGCAATACTTTTTTGAAGAAAAAATATTACCAGCAAAATATCTTTTAAAAAACATATTACCAGCAATAAAAATCTTGTCGGCGCTAAATAACCCATTGAAGTTGATATGCCGTGAAACAAACCAAACCAAACCAAATCGCCTTTTTCTTTTTTGTGGGTTGATTCAAATCTGAAAAGACTGTTCTATAAATATTTTCAAGGTCATTGTTGCAGCTCAGTACTTGATTGGCAGTTAGTTCCCAGCTAAAAATAGCTAGATGTAACCATAAGTTATATACTAACAGTTTCTTCTATCAAATTTCTTATTTGTGGAACTCTCTTCTGGCTTTTTGCTTTGCAGTCAACCTTGATCTTCAGTAATTTAAATGCAATCTCAATCATTCACTTCCATCTATTTAATACCCCTTCTTTTATTGCCCTCTTTCTTTGATAACGTTTTTTATCTTACTCTTTCACACTCAGAAACCCCTTACGTCTTAGTGGCTTTATTCTCGCGTTTGTTTAAAAGAAAAAATGATTTTACTTTTGTCCATCTCTCTTTGTGCCTATTCTGCCATCGATTTACGCAAACGTTAAAGTAGGGGATCATGGCCCTCCACAACTTCTTATAATTTGTTTCGCTAAGAAAATTTTGACCCTTTACCATTTTTTGTGACTGATCTGCCATTTATTTACTCAAAGTCGTTAAGTGATCATGACCCTCCACATCTTCCTGTTCTTTTATTGTTCTCTCTCTCCTTAAAAATGTATTTCTTTCTCTTATATTCTTTCGCACTCAGTAACTTCTTGCGTCTTAATGGCTAGTAGCTATTGGCTCCACTGTTTTAAAACAAACAAATGGGAACCGTCCTGGGTATGACGATAAACTACGTCCAGTAGCAAGGTCTCTGATCAGGAGATTTTCAGGAGGGTGGGACCACCTTTTTATTCCTGGTGTTCCCAGGTCCACCCTGATCTGGGGTGGTAGCACCTGTTAGGGGTCCCAGCAATGGGCAAATAGTTAACCCCAAACTGGGGTCAAAACACTATGAAAGTTTAAAAATAGGTTTTAATACCAGCAATACATTTTTGTAAAAAATTATTACCAGCAATAAATTTTTGAAGAAAAATTATTACCAACCATACATTATTACCAGCCATACATTATTACCAGCTATACATTTTTGAAAAAAAAATATTAGCAGCAATAAAAATCTTGTCGACATTAAATAACCCAT